TTTATGCCCCATCCATTTTAGCGACTCAGATCTCAACCAGTGCGTTTCTTGGAGAAAGGCTATTTGTATTTGGTTAGAAACCAAGGAATCATAAAGCATCTGCTTTTTCCACCGTGTATTTAAACCTTGTACATTTATAGACATAATTTTCAGCATTTAACTTTCAGAAATTTTGTAAACACTATCTCGATAGTACCAAATAATTTGGGACATAAAAATGATATTATTCAGACTGACCATAGCCCAATTAGTACAACAATGCAAATAACAACACATACCAAAACATAAAAACTTCTGATGAAACATAAACGTTTCACCAACATTCAACAGTGTACATCCCAAGGCTAATAGCCATGGGTTCACTTGATCTTCCATCTTAGAAGATAAGAGAATATCTGTGAAAACATCACAGAAAGAGTGGATTAAGATCAGGCGTCTAAGGGCTTAGTATATATTTGGAATAGAGGTACTAGGCAGAGAAAGAGGAGGATAGCCTCAGATTAATAAACATCTACCAATTTTCAACATTTGTGAAAAAAAAAAAAAAATTCCTCTTGTACACCTAATTAGGTTTCTTTAGCTTTCCATTTCTTCTTACTTTTTTCTTTCTTTTTCTCTTTCCCTCTCTTCCTCTCCCCCCCCTTTCATTTCTATCTTATTTTACTATTGCTTTTCCTTTTATTATTTGTTTTTTCTTAAAATATAAAAAAATAAATAAAATAAGTGAACAAATATATTAATTATAACTGTGCATGTGAGAATTATCATCTTTTAAGTGTTATAAATTTTATGTTAATTATACCCCCAAACATACTTAATTTTCTTATTTATAATACAGAACGTGGTCATTCCCTACAATTAGCTTGTAGAAGATATTTAGAAAAGCATTTTTTTTACAGTGAACTTCAAAAACTATATATTTGTGACTTTAATTTTCTCCGACCTCTTAGTCTTCTCAATACCTCTAAAACCCTTAAAGTCTCTATCAAGTTTAATTTAATGATTTGTTCTGTAACCATGTCTTTAGCTTATCTGGTTGATCAAAAGACTCTATTTTTCCATCCATTTGGATAATCATCTTTGTGGGATAGCTCCATCTAAATCTGATATTATGTTGCTTGAGGATATTGATTCCAGATGAAAACATTCTTCTCTTGTTTCTGGTATTATAAGATAGATCTGGAAGTGCTATGATATGTGCATATGGACCATCTTTTATACGTTTCTCTCTGTTGGCTTTTAAAACTTGTTCTTTAAATTCAAACGAATGAAATCAAGTAATTATATCTCTTGGAGTATCAGATGTTATATTTGATGGTTTATGCAGTCTATGGCATCTTTCAAATTTCTCATTGTGGCCGTCCAATTTTAAACCTAAGGCTTTAAAGTAATCGTGTAGCATATATTCCAAATTTTCTTGTTTATTGGAATCCTCAAAATTACGGAACCTCAGGTTTTTCCTACGAGATCGATCTTCAAGATCTTCTATTTTGTTTTCAAGATTATGAATTTTTGATGTCAGTAAATTTACTTCTTCGTTCGTTGATACTATTTGAAAGTCAACATTCTTCAATCGATCTTCCATGACTTGGAATTTTTCAGTTAACTTAAAAATTTCACTTTTTATTTCTTGTCGTATTTCTATAGAGTTTTTTGAAATTTCACTCTTTATTTCTTCTAAAATAGATTATAGACTTTCATTCAAAACTTTAGTAGTAATTTCTTCCTGTTCTTTATTATCTTTATTTATATCCATAGCAGATGGCTTTAAATTTGTTAACGATGATCTCGGTTTGTTCCCTTTTGAGTCTTTAGATTGAGGAGAAAAAAATATGTCTAAGTTTTTTTCTTGATGTACTTCTCCTTTATCTCCTTTGTCTCGATTTGATACAGATTTGGATTCTTGGACTTGAACTATTTTTTTGGGAGCCATCAGCTTCCTTGTATTTTGCACTCCTTCTGGTTTATCTTCACTCACTTTCCTTTTTATGTAATTATTATTTACAATTTCTCTTTTTTTTCCCTTTTTCTTTTCCTTTGTTTTCCTCCTTCCTTTTCTTTTCTTTACCTTCAGTTTGTTTCCTTTTTTATTTCCTCCTTTTTTATTTATTTATTTATTTATTATTATATTTTTTATTTATTTATTTATTTTTTCTTTTTTACTTTTCACTTTCTCTTTAAAAATATATGGGTAAATATATAAAGTGAACACAATTCTCTTGTTTTTTTTTATTTTAAACACTGTGAGACGAAATTTAGTGAGAAAGGAAGGAAAACAACAAAAAACAATAGAAAGGAAATTTCTTATCTTTTAAATGAAGCCTCTTATCATCTAGATGGAGTTTCAACCTTGATCCTTGAGCGCCGAGAGTCGCCGTTCCACCGCGCAACCAACCATCAGATGCTCCAACGAGCACTCCCACCACTCGACCCGTGGGCCAACCGACCACACAGGGTCCCAGTGAGGGTATCAGTGAGGGTATCAGTGAGTATATAGAGTATATATATTATATTGTTTTCAGAAGGGTGCAGATAAAGTGCAAACAACGTCTTTTCGGCAAATATTGTAGCTCGCTGTTACCATTCAGTATCACAGTTATCCAGAAAAAGCTCAGTGATTTTAATAGTTCAACTTACATTCCGCCTGGAATATAGAATTCTTTTTTGGAAGGAACTTGAGGAGACTTAATAGGGCTGAAAAATCCCAAAAGCATCCGACGGGGTTTTCAATCTATTGGTGGGTCGGCGTCTCACAGCATTTTGCAGCGCTCACAGCTCTTAGACCGCCATCACAATCCCCTCCTCACGACGCACGACGCACGGCTACGTCCTGCGTCCGACCCACGCCCACATCCCCTAAACCATTGTTTCTTAAAGAAATATTCCATCACAACCACTACAGAGTGGTACAGTGGTACAGTGGTTATGGTGCCAAATTGTTTTCTAATGGTTAGACCTCTTACCGGTGGTCTGCTGGATTCCACTCCTTGTCTCCACTACATATTACAGGAGAGCCTGAAGTTCTCTGTTTGAGCTTGTCCCCATATTAAGCTGCTGCAGTACTGAGACTAGCTGCGTAAATAGCCCGCACTGAGTAATAAAAGGTGCTGACCAAAGACTACCAGATTGTAACAGCGATGAAAGGAGTGGATCGTTAAAAACAGCTGAACAACCCAGACAGTGTAAGAAAGGGTTGCTATTTAAAACAACAGCGATTACCCTGACATATACACAGTTAATGTTTCCCTGCCTGATCCCTTACTGGGATGGAACTCCTGCCTCCCACTTCCTGCTCTCCTCTCTGACTCTGAATCCCATGGTGCTTAGAGGCTTCTCAGAGAGAGAGAGAGAAGCTGCAGCATGGCTTCCTACTCTGGGAGGGAAGGGCTGAGCCAGGGACACCAACCTTGCCCATCCCAATGCTAGAAAGACACTCCATTACAGACGGCTTGAAAAGGGATGATATGCCTGAGTTTGCATGTGTACAGAGAAATGTTAGAGGTGCACCTAACGTAGTCAGCACAAGGGGTGGATTTGACTGTTGACACTCCTTTCAAACAACATTTTTCAAAACTAAAGGTTACTCAGCATGCATCATAGCTACAAAAAAAGGCCTACTGTAATGATTAGTTACAGGGGGCTATGGGTTAACTTCATGTATTGTTTGTAAAACTTCTGCAGGTTTTCCACTGTACCTGAAACCATTCCAACTGCTTTGAATAAAATTTCACATTTTACAATATCCTTGCACAGAATATAGTATGATTAGGCAGTGCAGAATTCGTGCAGCCCATCAGATGCAGCTAAATTACTGCTAACTCCTTTCTGTGCTCCCTGGTGCTGCGCCTGTGTGTGAATGTTTTGGAGTGTTGCAAGTGTCTGTGATTCTGAATGCATTTCTGACCTTTCTGATCACACCCCACTACAGTCTATCTTTCACCCAGCACCTTCTTCTGCCTCATGTCCCAAAATATTTACCATTTTTTCTCTAACAGCCTCTGTCTATCAATCCCTGGATGTTCCTTATGTGTGTCTCTAATCCCCCCATGCTTTTATTTGTTACTCCATTCCCCCATCTCCTTCATGTCTGTTTGAAATCCCACCCATGTCCTCCGTGTGTGTCTCTAATCCTTCATTTATGTCTCCAATCACTCCATGATCCTCATGTGTGTTTTCAATCCCCCTTTCCATGTCCCTCCAATCCTTTTCACAGTCCTTCGCACCACTTTCTATGCCACTTCTGTGTGTGTGTCTGTTTGAAAATCTAAATGTGACTCGTATTGTTCTCATTATACCTCCCTCTACATAATGTATTGAAATACTACAAACTCTTAATTGTACTGAATTTACCAACCTGTTACCAGTGATTGTGCTTTGGGTGTCTAACAGTAACTCTTTTCTCTGGATCTTGCAACTTTGGTACAAATGACTGTTCTTGCATTACTGGTGGCTTCTCTGGTAACGTCTGCTACTGTATGTTTGGTGGTTTCTGCATGACTAATGGTTTCTGAATGAACAACTGCTTATGCCCAATTGACTGTTTCTGCATGGCTGATGGTTTATGAATGACCAACAATTTCTGCTTGGCTGACATTTTTTTATTTTCTGGTCTTTTCATAATGACTAATGGCATGACTGGAATTCTTTGTATGGCTGACAATTTCTGAATGACTGTTTCTGCACAGCTGGTGACTTATGCTCTTCTGATTTTTTTTTGCATATCTGGGGAGTTGAGAATGATTGCCGTCTTTGGTATAGCTGAGTCCTCCTGCATGAAATACACATTCTGTGTGTGCTCTCTGCATGACAGGGCTCTTCAACATGACTGTCACCTTCTGTATGGCTGTTGTTTTCTTCATGACTGATACCTTTGGCAGGATAGTCACTTTTTGTATGACTGTTTGTATGACTGGCATCTTTGGCATAACTGGTCATTTCTCCATGACTGATTGTTTCGTCATGACGGATGGCTTCTGTATGACTCTTTCTTGCTGCATGACTTATGTCTTTGATCTGTTAGGCATGTTTTGCATGACTGGTATTGTCAAGGTGACATGTACTTTTTCCATGCTTGGTGTCTTTAACATGACTGGCCCTTTTTGCATGGCAAGTGCCTTTGGCAAGGCTGAGGCCTTCTGCATGACTGGCTCCTTCATCATTACTAGTGATCTCTCCATGACTGATCCCTTTTGTACGGCTGCTCCTTTCTGCATGATTGGTGTTTTTAGCTTGATTGGTACCCTTTGCAAGTCTGGTATCTTTGAGATGACTGGAGCCTTTGGCATGACTGTTGATTTCTCCATGATTGATCCTTCTGCCATGGCAGGCTCCTGCATGACTATCACAATCTGCATGTTTAATGCTTTTGGCAAGATAGACACATTTTGCTTTTTCATGACTGATATCTTTAAGAACACTGTACAACTGGCACCATCCTCATGACTGATGCCTTGAGGATGGCTGATGCCTTCCCAATAACGCACACATTTTGCATAACTGGCGCCTTTGACATGACTGAGGATATCTCCATGACAAATCGTTTCTGTATAACTGTTTCATTCTGCATGATTGATCCCTTTGACATAATATGACTGGCACCTTTTGCAAATCTAGCTCCTTTGGCATGGCTGACCTTTTGTATATGACTAAAACCTTCTGCACAACTGGAGCCTTCAGCATGGTCAATAGACATGTGCAATTTGTTTAGTTCCAAATGTGAATTCGGACGAATTTTGGGCAATTTGGACATTCAGATGCTTCCAAATGTCTGAAGTGCCGAATTTCCAAAGTGCCAAGCCGAACCGAATTGCCAAAATGCTGAATTTTGGAATTGCTGCAGTGCTTGGGATTTCTGAAAAGTGGCAAAATAAGAGAGGGAGGGAAAATTACGTGAATGATGACAGGGGTAGGGTTAGGGATCCCTACAGATGTTTCGAATTGCCGAAGTCCCTAATTACCAAAGTTCCAGTGGTGGCCACCCAGATGGGAAGAGGAGTTTCGTCGCCAGAGATGTTCTTTTCCCCCTAGTGGGAGGGATGCTGTGATTCAGAGCAGGAACAGCTCTTACAAAAGCTAGTGATTTAGCACTTCAAGCAGAAGAGAGACAGCTGTTGTAGCTTTCTCCCACAAACATGAGACGAGGCTCTATGCTGTGAGATAACAAAGGTTTTAATGGGGCCACACATGGCCTCTTATGTTAATCCCCATGCAAGGGGCACTCTCCTCTGGACCTGAGAGTAGACTATAGTAAAATCAAATACACAGTTACATTGGCTCTCAGGTCCAGGACACACCTATACAAAATAAGATAATCCCTCCCCTGTGCCTGGGAGATAATTGAGTCATGAACTGTATTAACTCAATTATCTCAAGACTCAGAGAACATACATTTTAGTAGTACCCCAAAAGTACCCTCAAAACCCATGGAAATCCCACAAAAGTTATATCCCCTGATAGCCCCAATCTGGGGGACCAACATATCCAAAGATCACCCAGATTAGTTCAGAGGTTCAAGATTTCCATGGAAGTCACATTTTGACCGACCGCACACGAGGCTCCTGCCCAAAAGAGTTCCATGAAATCAGGCTGTGCGGTCGGTCTCTTTCGGGAATACACAATAGAGTCAAAATACCGAACGTAGGAGTCCCATTATAGTTCCATGCACTCGACGACCAAACACCAATGTATGTGTTCGCGGCTAAAGTTGGCCGCCGCCACGTGTTCGTATACCGAACGACGACCACCCAGCCAACTGCTTAGAACGCTTGTTGTTATAGAAGTGTTAAAGAGGTGATAGAGGTTAGTGAAAGAGAATGAATTAGCAATAAAACGAAGGAAAAGGCAATGTCCCGAATCCATAGGGGAATTAAATAAAGGGGGTTACAACCCAGGGACAAGGTGATCCATCACAGTGGTCTCCCCTTGTGGAACACTCTGGCAGACCCGGTTTGACCCTTTTCAGGTCAACTTGGGGATGTCCTGATTTAGGTTAGATGCTGAGTTCTGTCTGCCGGGACAACCGGTGTCGCTCACCTCCTGGGGTAACAGCTTCCTACTGAGGTACGCGAAAGGGTGTTCTCCTCCATCTTCTCCAATTTGATTTAGGACTGCCCCCAGTCCAAACATGGAAGCATCTGTGTGAACAATAAAACGCTTGTTAGGAACTGGGGCAGCCAAGATAGGAGTATTACTTAGGGCTTGTTTTAGTGACTGGAAATTGGCTTCACATACTGGAGACCACAGGACCTGCCTAGGTAAGCTTTTCATTGTCAGGTGAGTCAGGGGTTTGGCCATAGTGCTATAGTCGGGGATGAAATGTCTGTAATACCCAGCAGTTCCCAGAAAGGCCAATACTTGGGTCTTAGTACGGGGTGTTGGACAGTTAGTGACTGCTTCAATATTAGCGGGTTCTGGTCACTGCTTTCCACACTCCACCCGGTAGCCCAGATACTGGACCTTTGCCCTGCTAACATGGCACTTGTCTGGCTTCATAGTCAGGCCAGCAGGCTGAATTTGATCCAGTACTGTCCCTGCGTGTAATAAGTGTTCTTCAGAGGTCTCACTGTAGATCGCAATGTCATCGAGGTACGCACAGGCGAATTCCTAGAAGCCATCGAGGAGTCTATCCACCATGCGCTGGAAGGTGGCTGGGCATTCTTCATCCCCAATGGCATGATTCTAAACTGGTACAAGCCAAACGGGGTGACGAAGGCCGACTTGGGTATAACTGCCTCGGCCAGGGGTATCTGCCAATAGCCTTTATACAGATCTAACAGTTCATCTATCCTGGGCATTGGGTACGCGTCTGTAACAGTCCGGTCGTTTAGTCGTCGGTAGTCCACACAGAACCGGGTGGTCCCATCTTTCTTAGGTACAAGGACTACCGGGGAGGCCCACGGACTGTCAGAGGGTTAGATGATGCCTAGCTGTAACATTTCCTGTATCTCCTGCATTCTCTCTCGTGCTGCTTCGGGGATACGGTAGGGAGGTTGTCTAAGTGGGGTTGCCCGAGGGGGTCTCTACTTTGTGGGTGGCTAGAGTGGTGTAACCTGGCTCTTGGGAGAAGGTCTGTTCCTTACATTACATAGTTACATAGTTACATAGCTGAAAAGAGACTTGCGTCCATCAAGTTCAGCCTTCCTCACAAATGTTGTTGCTGTTGATCCAAAAGAAGGCAAAAAACCTGGTCTGAAGCGCTTCCAATTTTGCCACAAACTGGGAAACAATTCCTTCTTGACCCCAAAATAGCAGTCAGATGTCTCCTTGGATCAAGCAGCTATTACCCCACTAATTAGAAATTATATCCCTGTATGTTATGTTTTTGTAAGTATTTATCCAATTTCAGTTTAAACATCTGTATGGACTCTGACAAAACCACCTCTTCAGGCAGAGAATTCCATATCTTTAGTGTTCTTACTGTAAAAAAAACTTTTCTTTGCCTTAGATGAAATCTCCTTTCTTCCAGCCTAAATGTGTGACCTCGTGTCCTATGTTTAGCCCTGTTTATGAATAGATTTCCAGATAAAGGTTTGTACTGGCCCTGAATATATTTGTAATTCTAATAACTGATGAGCCTGGCCCTTCTCTGCCTCCATTAACCTACCTCCTAGCTTCACCTGACTGATGAGATCAGTTTAAGCATCCCTTTCTAGTAGATCGGGGAGGGGGGCACTGTCTGGGTCATCTGTTACTGGGGCACATACGGCGGCTATGTCCTCCTGCCTCTCTTGATACTCCTTCAGCATGTTGATATGAAAGAATCATTGTATCCTCTCATTGGCTGCTCTTCCACCTTGTAGGGGCCCTGCCATGCTGCTTGAAGTTTGTCTTGTCTGGTAGGCTTGAGTTTCAGGACTTTCTGTCCCACCCGGAACGTCCGCTGTTGTGCACCCCGATCGTACCAAACCTTCTCTCGCCCCTGGGCTGTCTGAAGATTGTCCTTTACTAGCCTAGCCAACTGCCCCATGTGGTCCCTGAGTTCCAGGACATATGGCAGAAAGGGGGTCCCTTCATGTTCCATGTCCCCTTCCCAGTGTTTCCTAATGAGATCAAGGGGTCCTCGCACCCTTCTCTCATAGAGCAACGCGGAAGGGGAAAAAACAGTAGATTCCTGCGGCACCTCTCTGTAAGCAAACAAGAGGTGAGGCAGGAACTTCTCCCAGTCTCTGCAAGCGTTGGTAAAGGTCCTCAGCATCTGCTTGAGGGTACCGTTGAACCGCTCACAAAGACTGTTAGTCTGGGGGTGATAAGGCAAACTATGTATAGGCTTAATACCACAGACTTTCCACAGCTGTTGGGTAAGGTCTGCGGTGAATAAGGTTACCTGATCTGAAATTATCTCTTTGGGAAACCCCACTCTAGGGAATATCCGAACCAGAGCCTCTGCAATGGTCTCTGCATAGATATTCGAGAGAGCAATCGCTTCAGGGTAGCGAGTAGCTTAGTCCACCACGGTAAGGATGTACCTCTTACCGGATGGACTGGGCCTAGCCAGAGGACCCACTAGGTCGACTGCTATTCTGCTAAAAGGCTCCTCAATAATGGGCATAGATAAAAGTCGAGCTTTAGGGTGGTCATCCCTTTTCCTATCCACTGACAAGTGTCACAGGTTTTGCAATACTGTCACACATCCCTAGAGACTCCTGGCCAAAATAAGTTTTGGGTCACCTTATGGGACGTGCGGCGTACTCCCAAATGCCCTGCCACCGGTACTTCCTGGGAACTACCAGTTGGCGCTTCTGGGATGGGGCTACCTCTTCACTGTAGATCTCAGTTAGTCTGTATAGCCTATCTTGCTCCCATGTAAACCTCTCATTCCCCTAATCCCCCTTGCTCAGCATCTGCCTTGACTCGATGTCTTCCCGGGTTTCCCTCCCAAACTCCTCTGAGGTATCCCAGGCTAACAGGGCTGAGTCTAGTGTCACAGTTGAGGTTTTGTCTCTTACCGGAGTCTCCCCGGCATGTGAGTCAGCTTCTGCAGTCCTCACTTGCAGGTGAGTGGTGACAGGGTGGGCTTCAGCAGGTTTGTTGAGGATGTAGGCAGAAGTTAGGGGACCCAAGTCATTCCCCAATAGGACCTCAGCTGGTAAATCTTTCATAAGCCCCACGTTCACGGTGCCCTCCAATCCAGATGAACACGGGCAGTGGGTAGGCGATATACAGCTCCCCCAGCTACCTGGACGGCCACAGTTTGTCCAGTGTGTCCCTTGTCTTGTACCAGATGGCACTGAACCAAAGTCAGGGTAGCTCCAGTGTCTCTTAATCCACGGGCCAATTCCCCGTCGAGCAGCTCAATTTGTCGGTGGTGTTGCCAGTTGTCCCAGGTGGCTGCTTGTACCGGATCATGCAGTACTCCCCAATATTCCTCTGCATTATTCTCAGTTTCTTAGCAAAGGGC